AAAAAAAAGAATTAATGAGCCCAAGAAGTACCAGTCTTACTTCTTTATCATTTTGTGCTGAGATGGTTTTATGTGTCTGTCTTTTAGGACCAGCTCTTTCGTTTTTACACAAAGAGGCAACTGGGATCTTGATAGAAATTATATTGAATCTGTGGATTAGTTTGGGGACTATTACCACTTTATCAATATTAAGTCTTCTAATCCTGGATTCTAGGGTATCTTTCCATTTAGTTAGGTACTCTTAAATTCTTTCAGCAACTTCATATAGTTTTCAATATATATCCCGTGCTCTTTTTGTTAAAAATAAGTTCCTAGGTATTGTATTCTTCTTGATGCTGTTATAAAACCGAATTGTTGGGGCTGGGAAGGTGGCTTAGTGGTAGTGTGTTTGCCTTGCATGCATGAGACCCTGAGTTCGATTCCTCAGCACCACAGAAGCAGAAAAAGCTGAAAGTGGCACTGTGGCTCAAGTAGTAGAGCTCTAGCTTTGAGCTGAAGAGCTGAGGGACAGCTCCCAGGCCCAGAATTCAGGCCCCATAACTGACCAAAAAGAAAAATAAATAAAAAGGAATTGTTTCCTTAATCTCATTTTCAGATTGTTCACTGATCATGTTTGGAAATATACTTGAATTTTATATATTGTTCTTGCTTTCTGCACTACAGAAAGTTTTAACTACACTGTGGCTGAAGGGACTTTAGAAGTGTATCCAGCAGAGCCATGAAAGGTTTCTATTGGGCTGGGAAGGTGGCTTAGTGGTAGAGTGCTTCTTTGCATGCATGAAGCCCTGAGTTTGATTCCTCAGTATCACATACACAGAAAAAGCCAGAAGCCTTTGAGCAAAAAGAAGCTCAAGGTCAGTGCCCAGGCCCAGAGTTCAAGCCCCAGGACTGGCAAAAAAAAGATAAAAGGTTTCTATTGCATGCTGTGTGGTCAGATAGACTAGTGACAAAACTACCACTTACTGAGCACCAACACTATTGTATCCAAAGCTTTCTAATAGTTTCCCATTGCTCTAATGACAGTAAAAAGATGAGAATCCTTAGCAGGACATAGAAGGCCCTAGAAGGCACATCACTGAAACCCAGTAAAGGGAGCAGCTATGTTGGTACCAGGCGCCTCATGTGCAGGATCTCACTTGTCTGTATCATACAGGTTACAAATGAGAGGACTAAAGCTGGACAAGGTAAACCAGCCTAAAGGTCACACAGCAAATGGCAAGGCCCTGGTTCTAATGAGATCTGATGGATGGTTTTTTGCTTTTAAAACAATCCTCTTAAAAGAGAAGTGCTCATCTCTTCATTTGTTTTCCAGTGGAGACATTTCAGAAGCTGCAGAAGGCCAAGGAGATTCTGACCGATGAGGAGAGTCGCGCCCGCTATGACCACTGGCGAAGGAGCCAGATAGCGATGCCCTTCCAGCAGTGGGAAGCTTTGGCTGACTCAGTGAAAACGGTGGGTTGCTCTCTGGAGATGGGGAGAATTCGTTAGATTCATAACTGGGATGAAGACTTAATAGACAGCAGGATGGAGAAAATAAACACATTCACTGGGAGAGTCTGGGTATAATTCAATTTTCACAAAAGCCTGTGAAAATTTGGAGCAGAGGCCATCAGCCTGTGCTAGCAAAGTCTATGGCTACAACTTCTAGCGTGTTTCCCCCTCCCTGTGTGTTATACTTCATTTTATGATTTCTAATAAATATGATTCTCTGGTGGCTTATATAACTGAATTTTGAACCACTGCAGGTTCATTTTCCTTCATCTTTTCTGTTCATATCAGTTTTTTCTTCTTTCAAAGCTTATAAATCTATTAAAAGTAGCCAGGTACTGGTGCCTCACACCTGTAATCCTAGCTACTTAGGAGGCTGGATCTAAGGATCGCAGTTTGAAGCCAGCCTGAGCAGTAAAGTCTGTGAAACTGTTATCTCCATTAAACCACCAAAAAAAAAAAAAATCCAAACGTGGAGCTGAGTGGTAGAATGCTAGCCTTAAGTAAAAGAAGTCCTGAGACAGCACTCAGGCCCTGAATTCAAGCCCCCTCACCAGCACCAAAAAAAAATCTATTAAAAGAGAGTCTCATTAATGAAAGAAAACTACAAATTATTCCTATTCTATATTTTACTAAAAGGTTGTTGGACAGGGCTGTGGTGGCACATGCCTGTAATCCTAGCTACTCAGGAAGTCGAGATCTGAGGATCTCAGTTCAAAGTTAGTCTAAGCAGACAAATTCAGGAGACTCTAATAACCAATTAACCAACAAAACGCTGGAAATTGTGTGCTCAAGTGGTAAAGTGCCAGCTTTGAATGAAAATGCTAAGGGATAGAACCCAGGCCCTGAGGTCAAGCCACAGTACTTGCAAACAAACAAAAAAGGATTACTGGACTTGTTAAACCATGTTACCTTTCTTTATGCCATTAAATAAACCCCAACATATCAAACCATCACTATAATGTCTGGAAATGTAGCTCAATGACAGAATACATGCCTATCATGTACATGGAAGGCCAACACTGCCAAAAATAAATAAATCATTATAATAACTATGATGTATTTATTTTACTTACATTGCTCTTTATAAATTATAGGTAGATACAATCATTAAAGTTTCTGTTTTCTTAGGCATGATTTAGTATCAGAATTCATTACACTGTTGTTGGTCATGGGACCTGAACTTTGGGCCTGGGCGCTGTCCCTCAGCTCTTCAGTTCAAGGCTAGCGCTCTACCACTTGAGCCACAGTACCACTTCTGGACTTTTCTGCTTATATGGTGCTGAGGAATTGAACCCAGGGCCTCATGCATGCAAGGCAAGCGCTCTACCACTGAGCCACCTTCCCTTTCCAGCTGCAACACTTTTTTAAAAAATGACTTTGAATCCAGAAAATTGCTTTACAGGCAAAATTTTAGGAACATTGTAAGAACTGATTTATAATGTGATGGATTGCTCTTAAATTTCAGCTCTTCAGAATTACATTTACATTTCCTTCTTCATAGTTTTTAGGAGGGAAATTGTTCATAAAAGGCCTATAGAACTGAGGTATTAATGAGATTTGACCTCTGGGCCTCATGCTTGCTGGAAAGATGTTCTACCACCTGAGCCATATCCTCAACCCTGAAGGAACATCTTAGGGATATTGGGGAAAACCAATGGAAACTCTGAAAATAGAAGGTTAATGCCACTCTATCTAAAATGTAAACTGTTTTCTTCATCTCATTTGTATGGATTTGTTTAAGGAGGATTAGTTATTTATGAGGAACTATATAATTATTGTATATTAGGTACAAAGTAACTACAGAGAACCTTCAAAAATGATTGACTTGATTTCATATATTCAGAAGTAAAACTCTTTACTTTTTCACTGTGTATATACACATTCCTTGTTGACATTAGCAAAATAAACATTGTTCTACCAACTCTGCCTAACCACATTTCCAGGCTCCTAAATATGACACATTAACTGCAGCTGAATCACTAATCCTTGCTATTCTAATGCATTCTGATTTATAGCTTTTTTTTTGATAATCTATTCAACTCTGTCACTTTATTTCTAACAGCCTATATCAAGTTAGCTGTGGAATTTCCAAGAAGTCTTCTCCACATCTCTACTTTAATTTATATCACCAACATCTTTCCATTTAATACTAATTTCCTGTCTCCAAACACATCATTTTAGCTTTGAGTTTAGCTTCACTATGAAATTGTTTGAGGCCTTGCAATAATTACACTTAACATCTTACTGGCTATATCATTTGTCTTGTCAGCAGAGTTTAAGTAGTATGTGCTGTGTAAGCATGTGGTTTTTAGATTTATTTCTATTAGTAATACAGATATGGTGCATGTTTCTCTGCTTTAATATCAGCAGTTTTTCCTCACACCATTTTCTTTGGGCAAAAGCTGCTTGTTTCTATCTTTCTTTTGCTTTTCAATCAATCTTAGTGGATGTGTGTGTGTGTGTGTGTGTGTGTGTGTGTGTTGGTACAGGGGCTTGAACTCAAGGCCTGGGCACTGTCCTTTAGGTGTTTGCTCAAAAGTTGGCACTTTATTGATTGAGCCACAGCTCCACTTCTGGCTTTTTGTGGTCAGAGATAAAAGTCTTACCCTGACTCTTCTGTCTGGGTCGGCTCTGAACTGTAATCCTCGATCTCATAAGTAGCTAGAAATACAGGTGTGAGCTACTGGTATGTAGCTTCTTAGTGGGTTCTGAATCCCCCATTCTATGGTACACATGATTCTTGCATCATTCTGGTCTCTGTAACTTTCTTTTGTTTTCTTTCTGTTCTTATCCTAAAAGTACCTTCTCTCAACTTAAAAATTAAAAAAAAAATTGGAATGTTGTTATGTTGCACAGCTTGGTTTTGAACTTCAAGACTCAAATTCTTCTCCCATCTCAGCCTCCCAAGTGCTTTCTCTTTGAGTTATTTCATCGGCTTATCCTTTTATGTTTGTACTCTGGAGAAATCAAGAGCAATGAACATACCTAGTATTGTTTATCATCCAATAGATCATTGCCTTTCTTTTTGTAGAAAACCATCACCATTAGGGTCCTGGGGTTAGTTGTATTAGTAAGCCATTTTGACAACAAAATGGTTATAACTTTAGGGTTTGGATTTCAAGTGGATATTTGTTTAAAACACACCTGCATATTTGCTTGCCTGGCACATTTATAGGGTGTTAAATCTCATAAAATCTCTTTCTTCCGCACCATCGCTCTTGTGTCTCTTTTTTTTTTTTATCTAAGCAGTTTAATACCTCTGGAAGGAGAAGCATTGGTCGGAGCAATATTCTTTGTTTTCTTACAAAGCAAGACAAAATGCCAAGGCACTTCTGCAACATTATACACAGGATCATATCTCAGGATTGTCTTTTGGGAGAATTCTTCAAATGAGCCACAGCTTCAGGGGTGATACATATCACCCATGAGTGAGGACACTGTAACTGATCATTTTTTTCCCTTTCATACTAACTCTTTGTCACTTCATTAGCTACTTGTTTCTTTTTCTAGCAGTTTCTCCTGGAAGATTCGTTTGTAAAAATATAGTAGGAATTCACCCAGGTCAATATGTTGGAAATTCAAATTTAGGCATGTGGCATTGTTTTAAAAGAGAGATAAATACATTCTGGGAGTGATGGCTCCCACCTGTAATCTTAGCTACTCAAGAGGCTAAAATGGAAAACACTGCAGTTTGAGGCCAGCCCAGGCAAAACATTCACAGGATTCCCTTCTCATCCCACAGCTGGGCACAGTGCCAGTTGTCCCCACTATGTAGGAAGTACAAATAGGTAGATCATAGTTCAGGAAGGACATTGCAGGAAAAAAAATTGAGAGCTCATTAAAAATATAATGAATATAAAAAGGGCTTGGGGGTGGGCTGGGAATGTGACTTAGTGGTAGAATGCTTGCCTAGCATGCATGAAGCCCTGGGTTCAATTCCCCAGTACCACATAAACAGAAAAAGTCAGAAGTGGAGATGTGGCTCAAGTGGTAGAGTGCTAGCCTTGAGCAAAAGAAGCTCAGGGACAGTGCCCAGGCCCTGAGTTCGAGCCCCAGGACTGGCAAAATAATTTTACAAAGGGGAGGAGCTTGGAAGAGTGGCTCAGGTGGCAGGGTACCTGCCTAGCAAGTGCAAAACCCTGATGTCAAACCACAGTATCAAAACAAACAACAACAACAAACCAGAGAGGAAGTTTGAATTGAGAGTTTCGGTGGTCCAGGCCTTTGAAACCCTGGGATAACGTGAGAGCAGAAAACTTTTTTTTTTTTTTTTTGTCAGTTTTTGGGCTTGAACTCTGGGCCTGGGCACTGTCCCTGAGCTCTTCAGCCCAAGGCTGGTGCTCTACCACGTATGCCACAGCGCCACTTCTGGTTTTCTGAGTGGTTAATTGGAGATAAGAGTCTCATGGACTTTCCTGCCCAGGCTAGCTTTGAACTGTGATGCTCAGATCTCAGCCTCCTGAGTAGCTAGGATTACAGATGTGAGCCACTGGCACCCAGCTAGGCAGAAAACTTTTTAGCACAAAGAATTTAGGGAGATCCATCTTTGTCATACAGAGTATGGATGGCTTCCATCTAACTCCAAAATATGTACAGAATGGCTTCAGGAGGACTGTTGGGAAATGACTGCATTGAAGCCACAAAGTAAAGGAAATGTCCGTATGAGCTGCTAGAACCATCCCATACCACATCAAGCACTGTGCATTTATAAAAAGCAGTTAGAAACCTTTTTTGGGTTTTGGTGAATTGGTTGTTTGCCAGTGTTTTCCTATCATTTCACATAGAACTGTTTGTTGATTGTCTGGGCTCCTGGCTGGGTGAGGTCCTTGGGGTGAGTCTAGTTGACCATAGACTGCTGGAAGCTTCCTACTATGCCTGCTGGGCGCTCTTTGTCCAGCCATAGAGGAAACTCAACACCTTCTAAGCATGTTCAAAGACAATTTGTCTTAATTGGATATTACCCAAAAGCAGGTCAAGAAATCGTACAGGCAAATAAAATAATCCACTCATAATGATCCAGGATAAAATTAACTGATCAAACTGGGTGCCAGTGGCTACCGCCTATAATCCTAGCTACTCGGGAAGTTGAGATCTGAGGATCACAATTCAAAGCCAGCCCGGGCAGAAAAGTCTCTGTGAGACTCATATTTCCAAAAACCGGAAGTGGCATTGTGGCTCAAGGAGTAGAATGCTAGCCTTGAGTAGAGGCTCAAGGACAGTTTCCAGACCCTGAGTTCAAGCCCCATAACTAAGGGAAAAACTGGATCAAATTTGTAGTTATTAGGTTGAGCCATGGCTCCTTCAAGTCAATTATTTCTTTTTCCATTTGCCCCTTTTTATTTTTGTGTTGGTACTGGGACTGTACCTGGGCTCAGTCCCTTAGCTTTTTCTCTTCAGGCTGCGATTAGACCACTTGAGCCACACCTCTACTTCTGGCTTTTTGCTGGTTAATTGGAGATAAATCTCCTGGGTTTGTCGGTCTGGGTTTGCTTTTAACTGGGATCCTCAGTTCTTAGCCTTTTGCATAGCTAGAATGATGGCCACTGTTGCTGTCCCAGTGTTTAAAGACAGGTAGATAAACAATTGTATTTTCCAATGTTGATCAAGGTTCATTTCCTAGGGAGAGTGGCCAAAAGATCTAGTAAAGAAAGCTGGTAGCCAAGTTAATCATGAAGGAAGAAAAAAACCACACACCATTTTCACAGACTTCAGGATTAGTGGCCTTTGTTCCTGGGTTTGTTTTCCATTTCCATGTTAGTTCATTCCTTGTTCATTCCAAGCTCATTACTTGGCTATACAGATTCTCTCTTAATCTCTGTCAGTGGTCTATCATTTGATATTTCTCTTGATTCTTTTCTTTTCTTTTTTTAATTTTTCTTTTTTTATTGTGAAAATACTGTACAGAGGGGTTACAATTACATGGGCAAGATAATGAGTACGTTTCTTATCAAGCATTGTAGCCTCCTCCTTTGTTTCC